GACGCCACCCCCTTATATCGATGATTACAGTTTAGGTTGAAAGTTGAAATTACTACATCAAGACCAAGAAGAAAGGTTGGAAATAAATAAGGAGTAGGACACGACAACTTAAAATTCTCTAATCCAGACTAGACTCCGTAATCAAGGTCACTAGGAACGTTTACTTCTCTCAATGATGTTTTCCAGAGCAGAGTCAGAGGGTCCTGTAGTGCATCGACACATTTTTTCAGTAACACTGGAGAAACCCCATCTGGCCAGAGTCGAACAAGTCGCTAAATCTTGGATACTCCCCTCTAGATCCGGTGTTTCAAAATCAATGTTCATCAGCATCCGTCCCTCATGGTTTTTCTTGAGTGAAATCAATTTCGTTCTCCGTCTTGAGTATCGGGGTATGCTGAATACTTTTTAAAACTGCGCTGTTAGCAGTTCGCACATGCCCTGGTCGTCTCCAATAAGTACATCAGAGGCCACACTTAGGCTCTGATTTGGGACTTTGACCGGAGATATTTGTAGAAATATTTGGGATTCTTTCGAATGGCAGGCACCGCTTGCGCCTCCCCAACTTGTTGCTCTGCCGCGAGTGAGTCCTGCAACTGTCGTTCAGTGTTTTAAATTTTCTTCTATAGATGTTCCAGACCCCGCTTCTCCAAATTCATGGAGGCGGCCGTTATCTGGTTGTTCAAGCTCGCTCGTTTTCTCATGAGGATCCTTCTGTCCGTTGGAATTATGTGCCGCTTGGGGGTCGTTCTTCCCGGCGTGTGACGCGCGCATACCTGCAGTAATACATCGCACAGCATGTTGTACATTGCTTCGGCGTTTAACTCCAGGAACTCAGATCTCCAGTGGATTTCGATCAGTTGGTTCCCAATGGCCGCCCCGTCTGTTCATCGATAATGAAAATTTAGCCCAGCCAGCCCCTGTCGAGGTATAGGTCTGGCCTGGTTTCCCCTCCCAATTGACGTCTCGACCACCACTTGTCGATGGTCTGACAGTGCGGTCTCCTCAACACGAATATCAGCAACCAGTTCTTCATTGCTGGTGAAGAATAGTTCCAGGATATTGTGTTCTCTTGTTGGCACCAGCACCTGTTCACTTAGCTAGTGTTGCCTAGCGAATCGAAGTAGTTGTGTTGCCTGGTTACTGTCCTTATCTCTGCTCCGCTCAACGACATAAAACATTTGACCATCTATCGGAGCTCAAAGGCTGAAACTTTATCAACCATCACAATATAATTCGATATGACAGGTCCTAATATTCATTCATTCTATGCTATAAATTAGTTGAAGGTTGATAACGCAAAAATATACAATAACTGACCATCCAGCGTAGGCCCAGAGGCAGCTGTAGATGGCGGTGGCGACATCCCCCAGCTTGTTGGTGGAGCCCGTGAAGCCCGTCGCCAGGTACTGCGTGTTGCCCTGGGCGAGTTTGTAGATCCCACCCGCGACGATAACGAGGATCGCCAGCAGCTTGGCCGCCGTGAACACATTCTGCACCTTAGTGGCCAGGGTCACCGAGTACGAATTGACGAACGTAATCAGCACTGCAGGGGGAATGAGGAATGAGTGGGACTGAGTCCAAATACTGACCCACGTTTTGACGAATATTGTCGCAAAAAGAGGGCGATTTGGTAAATGGCATGATTCCTGGCCACCATGATGAGTGTGTACAGTGAATGTTTAAGATTTATAACCGCTAAAAATCTAAAATAATTAGACTACCTAAGTTCCATGTTCTATACATATTGCACCATAATGAACTCCGTTGTAACAAGTGACGGGATATATGGTATAACACACACCGGACATTTTCTGTTCACATATTCATCATCATTTTCGTATAGTTGAATCATCACGTTTTCTACACACGAATTTCACAAAAATATTGTAGTTTTGTTTATAATAAAACATTATTTACGCTCACATGTTAACATCCAGTAATTATCTTACGAATAATTCAAAGAATTAACCTTCAGCAAATAATTCGGCAAATTTTTCAAATCACAGCACATAAAATTGTTCTGACTTTGCAAATAGAAGAAATGCATTGGCGATTAGCTTTCATAAGCCGACTAGTTGACCATACCAATGTTACTTTCAATTCGTCAACGTAAACTTACTAATGCAGCAGACAGCAAACAACTTCACGGTTGTTCTTGGCGCAATGAAGTCCACGCAACCGACAGAGAAACACTCAACTAAGTATTCGGCAAACGTCAGGGTGAGGATGGCGAGGGATGAAGGCGTCAGCAGTAAAACAGAAACCCAACTGAAGAGGAAAGCGGGTAGCGGCCGATACCAGGCACCTCTGTAAACGGCAGGCAGCGGGTCCTGCGTGCACCAATGAGCCGGTGACTTGAACAGACTCTGCCTGGGAGTGGCTTCTTTATTGGCGGATTTTGAAATTGAGGTCTCCTGATTGGCTGGACTTGAATGCATAACTGTTTGCGCAGTTGACTGATAGCCCGCCAGGCAATCAGAAGGCCCTGTTAGGATGACCCTAGTTCGAGCGCCATGACTTGGGCGTGAATCATCGTGTTTTTCATCACTGTTGAAAGCCAAGTTCTGTACTCCTTGTTGACTCAAAAGTTTTTCTTTGCGTTCCTTAACCGGCGCGAAGGTTTCTAAAAAGTAGGCATATTCTGCACCTGATTCTGGGAGAACCGTGCCTAGCTCTGCGTAGCATAGAGCGCCTGTTGGGTGAAAATAATATGTATGATAAAACGAAAATAATAATTATAAGTTAAACTGGCTACAGTATACTAACATATTTTTTCTTAAATTTAGATAACGTGAGATTTAAACTTTTCATTTTACCATTACTAAATCAAAAGGATAAGAATTATTGATGATTCACCCAACATGGAAAAGACTCCACAGAGGCCCCAGACGAACAGGCTGAGCCCCACAGACTGGGTGCGCTGCAGGACCCCCTGCGGGGACACGAAAATCCCCGACCCTGCAAGGGGGATTTAGGGTTAGGGATGAGGATTTTTAGTTGAAAATCAAATAATGTATAATGAGTGGCAGTAAACAAATTTTTTCGACTGCAAACTTCATGGATATCCGAGGATTGATATCGATATCTTCAATTAAAATATATTTTAAAAAATATATAAAATATATATAAAAAATATATTTGGTGGGCACGAAGAGTATCTCAATGTCTTTGCTTTTGATTTTAGTTTTTTAAATTGAATAAAATTATCAGAAATCGACGAGATAATAAATCATCAACAGGCATTAATCACCCAAGCTTGTCCTCAATTACAAGTTATTTACTGTTAATATTTTTAATCTGCATCGGCTGAATGGCAGTAGCTCAAAGTAATTGATGAAAAAAGTTTACTTCCTGATGGTTCGAGAATAAATTTTCCTTACAGTGAAAACAAGTCTCATTTTGGATGGTGGCTTTATTATTCTGGTTGAGGGGGCAAGTTTCACAGCCCCACTCATCCATCACCCACCTACTCATTGGTCATTGCGCCCACTCACCTATCATGGCTCCTACGATGAGGGCCACTCCACTCCAGAGACCCACTCTGCGCTCGAGTTTGACACTCCCGGGCCCACCCTCGAGTGGGGCCCCGTGGCTCCTGAGGGGCGCCTCGTGCGCTGTGTCCGCTGGCCCAACCAGCTGCGCCCCACTCGGGCCAATGGCTGGCCCCACTGCAGAACATGTTGATGCAACAGCCACCGCACTACAACCTGGCGTAGTTTAATTTGAAGAATTGCATTTAAGAATTGAACAAGAGAATTTAGTTATAATTTTAGAGATTTCATGAAAATATTAAAGAATTTTTGAAGTGTTCCCTTAAAGCTTGAATTCGGCGAAAAATTTTCAGCATTGAAAGTAACCTTAAAAGTGAAACAATATTATTGTTAAATTGGGTCTCTAACAAGTATTCAATGAGATTTCTGTGAAAATCACAGAGATTCCATTACAAACATGTCTCTGAGAGGTATTATATGAATCGTCTTTTTCTTTGTCATTAAATCCTAATGAGCGATTTAACATACAGCGATATTTCTACGTGGAGTGTCAATCATGTGTAAATATCATGTCGAAAATAAAAACGGTGGTCTGCAGGATTTACTCTCAACATTTTAATAGCAATTCGATCACATATGAAGTATATACGAAATTCAAAAATTTAGAAATCAAATAACAATTCTACAGTGACTCAATATTTTACATACCGTTCTAATAGAAATGAACAATTCAAATGGTTATATTAATAATATCAGGTGATAGAATTTCAAACAATTAGGCACAAAACGTATTCAAGAAATTTAGGCAGCTTTAACAGCGCCTGGACGAACTGACTATGCACAGTACGATCCACATAAATACCAGTAACTGTTATTTCATAGAACAAAAGAAAGGATAATTGCGAATTACAGGCCTTCCATCTCGGAAACTTTCGAGCACTAAAGAAACTATAAAACAGATAACAGAAAAAGTAAGTAATGATTTTGTAGCGTCGTTCAATGTCTGCGGAAATGACATTGGGTTTTAACGTTGTACTTCCAACAGTATGGGTGAAGATAAAACAGTGAACATGTGAATTTCCTTTGTGGATGCGGTCAAGATAAGACGTGTCGCGGTCGGCTCTTACAGAAGTTAATTGTTGATGTGTGACGATTATTTTTCTTTGTTGGTCAGTTGTTAAAATACCCAAGTAATGTAATTCAGTATTTCGGCGGAAAATAAGGAAAGTCATTAAAAACGAGTATAAATTGTTCAGTGTGAGTTTTCAGAAAATTACTCCTTTATATATAAAAAGGACTCGCCAAATAAAAAAAGCTCTGTAGAATAAAATTATAGCATTCAATACGTTTGTAATGGAGTCTTGTACTTCAGCGGGTTCGTTACGCGGGAGCATCAATTATAAGCCACCAAAACTAATTTATTGAACGAGAGCAATAATGAAACACTATTTCTAGAAGGGTTGAAACGACCAGATAAGCTGAGTGCCCAGTCCAATAGATCACAATGGGTGACAGAGGTCGTAGCACGTCCCGGTTCCAGGGAGCACGCGAAGATCCTTACAAGCAACTTGGAATACAGGGACCCAGGGAAACTTACTCTCGTGACCAGCAACCCTATATTGGAAAGAAATACTTTCATACTGACTGAGATTACTTACTTAAGCACTTGCAAAACAGATTCTAAATATGATTACTTTTCAACCAATCAACACGAAACAGAAATAGCTAAATTATTGTTAGGATACCTTGGTCTAATATATAGAAGCTCGCCAATAAAGACAGTGTAAGTTGACTCAAAACACAGCAGAAGCGGGGCGCAATAGGTCAACTAGGCCTAGAAATGGGTGGCTCACGGTAGGACTGCCTCGTAACGACTGACCTAGACTGACTCGTAAGAACGATTTCCTTTTGGTGACTTCTAATATGTAACTAATAACCTTACAACGATAAGTAGTGGAGTGTTTACATTAAGTGTCAAGTGTTTACATAAAATCGGTGAAACAAATAAGTGAGTTTAGCTGTAGTAAGTGAGGGAAGCTACAAGTGTGCTCGAAGACTACGAATGTATTCATGAAGTCCTGACGAGCCTACAGCGCGGTATGTGAGCCCTTTGTTTTGAGGTCAGTGTCCGAGCTCAGTGTTATAATACAGCACCGGCAACGTCCACCCAACTGAACAAAATATCCAGTTTATTAGTAAAATAAGAAAAACAAGGTAAAATGGCTGAATGTATTGTGATGCAACCCCCTATGGGTAGTTCGTGCATAATTTGCAAGGAACTTTGTAATGCGGCACTTGTACTACAGTGCATCAAATACCGATTATTCATTCATATAAAATGTACAGAATTACCCATTTCTTGCCTGACCCGGCTCTAAAAGACCAGAGTCTCCTATGAATGTAAGAACTGTGTGATGAACATTTTCAAAGTTTTCAAAGAAAGTGAAACTAAGCTTATCGCAGCCATGAAAGAAAAACCTAAAGTGGTGGGTTGCGTGCCCGGTGGCGCTAGCCACACCTCCCCCCGAGCCACCTTCCCTTCCCTTGCAGCTAACTGTACCCTTGCCTCATCCACTACCCCTTCCCCACTCCTTCCCTTATTTCTAATCCTACCTCTACAGCCAGCCTTACTCTTGTCTTTGGCCCTTTCAGTGCCCCAACACTGAACTCCTGCTTACTCCTTACTCCTGCTGCCTTCTCCCCCTTTGATCTAGGCTCAAACGCTCAAACCATCTACGCTTCGTCCACTGCCCAAGCCCCCGAGAATAGTGTCTTAGAAGATGGTTTTAGATTGCCATCATCTCTTCCAACTCTTCAAACCCTACAATCCCTCCAAGTTGCAGAAGTACCCTCAAACATGCAACCAGCAAGGAAACGTGTTTGCTGGAAGTACCTGCAAGCAAAAGGAATGCGAACACGGGAGGAAGGGCAATGGCCCAAGATTTTCAAATCCCAGATTGTGTTATAAATTCTTGTGTAAAGGAGTAATTGTTTACCGTAGAAGCTTGCTTTCCAGAAGCACGGTGGAATTGAGATCGGAATCTGGTAACTCTGATGGCTTTGGCGGATACGACGATTGGATTGTCCAGCCCAGGGTTATTTCCCAGGAGCGACTGGCAGGACTTAATTTCCACCTTCGAAGAACGGATTGGGAGGCAATTTGGAATGAAACTGAGGAAACTGATTGGAGAGATGAGTTTCACGAGATGAATGCAGAGGAAATTCGCTCAAAACTACGTGAGAAACTAGCACACATGTGTATACATCATACCCCAAGAAAAACAGGCCCCAAAAGTCAGCCGCGTTCCGGAAGACCGACGAATCCTCATGAGAAAACGCAAGCGATTAGGCGAACAAATAGCTAAATCCACTAGTGACCTTATGAGACAGAGAATCGTAGAGCTACACAAGAAAACTGAACGCAGGTTGCCGAACTCGCACAGGATGGAAGAACAAGCTGCCGAAGAACGAGTAGTTTAGGTCATCAGAGAGAACCCCAAATGTTTTTTTTCAAATACGCCCAGTCTAAGGCTAAAATAAAGACGCTAGTGGGCCCGCTGAAGGATAACGATGTCCTTGTCGGAGATGACCAGGGCATGTGTAAGTCAGAATCGGTGTTCTGTAATTCGAAATCGAGAGTAACTCGAAGTCGAGAGAAACTCGAAATCGAGAGAAGCGAGGGTGAAAAGCGTAGTGCTACAGGGCCCTGTCATATAGGACAGATCCTCTTCCTCATCCACATCGTCGATATTGACTCGGGGCTTACCCATGCATCTACATCGTCATTTGCGGACGATACAAGAGAGCTGATGAGTCTCACATAACCGTAGATTGTCGACAAATCATCCTGTAAACTGCGAGAGATTACAGGATGACTTGTTGACAATCTACGGTTGTGCCCTAGTGAGTACTATGCAGTTCAACTGTATCAAGTATAAAGTAATGAGATACAAAGTCAGCACAGAGACTGAGATGCCACATTGCTACTTGGCATCGGATGGCACAGAAATTGAGGAAAAGCAAATTGGTCGAGATCTCGGAGTGTTGATGAGTAACGAAGCCACATTTGATGACCACATCGCGGAAATAGTCGCCCGAAACAGACAACGGATGGGTTGGATCTGGTGGACATTTCGAATGAGAGAAGCAGCACTAATGATTACATTCTACAGAGCCCTGGTGCTCCCCAATCTTGAGTAATGCTTCCAGCATTGGGCGCCGCTCTTAAGGCGGACGCGGTGTGGAAACTGGAGTCAGTCCAACGGACCTTCGCGTCCAGGATCAATGGTGTGAGGAAACTGGAGCTGAATTACTGGGACAGGCTGAAATACCTGAGACTGTACTCACTGGAGAAGAGAGAGAGAGGTACATCATATTGTACACTTGGAAGATGATGACTGGACCCAACCGGCATTCGGTGGTTGAATTGACGTTAAAACAACTACCAACTATACGACATTGAGATTGGGGTGAAGAGAGGTTTAGAATGAAAATTTAAGCAACATCTTTTGCGAAACGTCGTACTGACGTTACAATGCAACGACAAATTAATGTTGCTACTATGCGACATTGCTGCAATGTCAAATTACAACGTCGACGAACCAACCTCTTTTCCGATCGCAGCAGGATTCGAACCCGGGATCGCTGGAGACCGCGCGCGACGCTTTAGCAACCTTGGCCACGGTTGCTCGCGTGCATGAGCAATTAAAATAAGCTAGAGAATGGTGCGAGTCATTGAAAATTGAAATGCATTCTCTGGTCATTAATCATACACTTATATATATGTATATCATTCAATGTTGGTGTGATAACATTAGTTTCATGCTGGTAAATAGCTTCACATTCAACATTCCGTATCGACCATTTTTCAACGTTGAAATATCGTATTTTACGTCTTCTCTAGTTTTGGTCAGATTTCGACGCTGATCGGACGTTTAATTTTGGTTGTTCAGGATTTCAACCTGAAATCAACATTGAATGAAGGTTTAAAAATAAATAAACATTCAACCTACCAATATCGTTGTAGTGTCAATGTTGAAATAAGGTTGTTTTACGCCCGTTCTAGTTTTGGTCAGATTCCGACGTTGATCAGACGTTTAATTTTGGCTATTCAGCATTTCAACCTGAAAACAACATTGACTCAACGTTTAAGAATTAGTAAACCTTTAACGTATCAATGACGTTATTTCAACGTTGAAATGAGAATGTTTTCCATCCGTTCTAGTTTTGGTCATATTTCGACCTTGATTGGACGTTTAATTTTGCCTGTTCAGCATTTACCCTGAAATCAACATTGATTCAACGTGTAAAAATTAGTAAACATTCAACGTACAATATCGACGTTATTTCAACGTTGAAATAAGAATGTTTTACATCCGTTCTAGTTTTGGTCAGATTTCGACGTTGATTGGACGTTTAATTTGGTTGTTCAGCATTTCAACGTGAAATCCACATTAATTCAACGTTTGAAAATTACTATAAATTCTATGTACAAATATCGACGTTATTGCAACGTTGTTATAAGGTGGTTTTACGTCCCTTCTAGTGTTGGTTTTTACGTTGATATAACGTTTAATATGACGTTGATATGATGTTGATATTTTAACGTTGATATGACGTTTAATTTTAGTCGTTCTACATTTCAACCTGAAATCAATTACAGAGCTGGGCAGCGCTGCTTTGAAATGTAGCGGCGCTACCGCTACCGCTACATGCTCTAAATGTAGCGGGCGCTACCGCTACCGCTACACCCACGCGATTGTAGCGAGCGCTACCGCTACAGTAAAATGTAGCGCCGCTACATTAGCTGCTACAATGGCCAAAATTATCGGAAATCTCTAAATATTTATAGTTCTGCTATTGGGATTTACTCATAAACATTTAATGATAATAAAACATTTTCAGAACATATCAATGCAACCTTATTGCAATTAACCTAACCGAATTAGTACGGGTTAGATACAGTAAATAAAAGTTACAGTTATTTTTATATTTTTCCTTCCCTGCATGGATGTCTATATTAATCTACCAATCTAAAAAATTATCCACATATACATATAAAAATCAGTATTTTATTTGTATATATATATATATATGTCGATTATTTTTGAGATTGGTAGATTAAAGTAGACATCCATGTAGGGATGGTGAAACATAAAAATAACTGTAAGCAAACTAAAATATAAAAAATACCTGTAGGTGGTAAATGGCAACAACTTAATAAGTAACAACTAACATTTTGACACTAGTAACAGGCTGAGGTTGACAACATTACACCGAAATCTTTCGGACAGTTTTATTCTGTAATTTATATTATGTTTGTATCATGCTGTTTTTTAAATAATATTTAATACTATTGAGTAAAATCTAAAGGCTTTATTTATAAATGTAGCGGTAGCGCTGTAGCGGCAAAACCGCGTATCGCTACTTAAATGTGTAGCGGACGTTACCGCTACCGCTACAATTGCTTAAATGTAGCGCCGCTACCGCTACCGCTACTGAAAATGTAGCGGCCGCTAGTAGCGGCCACTACATGTAGCGCGCTACTGCCCACCTCTGACAATAATCAACGATATTTAAATGTCAGATGCCTGCTGGGGGCCTGCTTCAAAGTCTCCCAACTTTGAAAGTGAGATCTCCGAAATAGTGACATATTACAACGAAAGGAGGGGGAGATTCCCCCTTTTAATAACCGAGCCGCGGCCAGAGTACAGACTCTTCGTGAGAGATCTCTGTCCGTGGCAGGACCGAAACTGTTTACTGTCTTGCCAGAAGTGCTGAGAGGAGGGGAGGACAATGTTTCAACATTGAATCCAAGTGCTTTATTGCTATTTTAAATTTGATTCTCGGGTCTTTGGCTCTTGGTCCATTACATGTTTTTCTTATACAATATAAAAAGTAAGATACATGCATAAATTTAAATAATTTAAGTAGAATCCATGCATAAATCTAAATAATTAAAATATATATACTAGTAGCATTAAAGACGTAAAATGACAGAGAAATACAAAACATTTCATTAAGTGACGACTGAAAGCATCAAAAAACACGATAATAAACATAGAATATGAGCTTAAATTAACATTATCGATAAAAATATACAAAAACGCATGCATTTACAACGGATCAAGGCACTAAAATCGATGAAAATTTATTTGATGAGCTATAAAAATAATACTGATTAATAATAGAAGCAGAGGGATACATTCAGCGGAAGCGACTAACCGAGAAGATCCGCGGCTTGCGACTGCCACCAGCCTTCAGCCGGCGACTGCTACCAGTCTCCAGCCGGCAACTGCCACCAGCCTCCAGCCGGCAACTGCCACCAGCCTTCAGCCGGCAACTGACACCAGCCTTCAGCCGGCAACTGCAACCAGTCTCCAGCCGGCAACTGCCACCAGCCTTCAGCCGGCGACTGCCACCAGTCTCCAGCCGGCAACTGCCACCAGCCTCCAGCCGGCNGGCAACTGCCACCAGCCTCCTGCCTGCAACTGCCACCAGCCTTCAGCCGGCAACTGCCACAAGCTTTCAGCCGGCAACTGCCACCAGCCTCCTGCCTGCAACTGCCAGCAGCCTGCAGCCGGCAACTGCCACCAGCCTGCAGCCGGCAACTGCCACCAGCCTTCAGCCGGCAACTGCCACCAGCCTCCAGCCGGCAACTGCCACCAGCCTTCAGCCGGTAACTGCCACCAGCCACCAGCCGGTGACTGCCACCAGCCTCCAGCCGGCAACTGCCACCAGCCTCCAGCCGGCAACTGCCACCAGCCTTCAGCCGGCAACTGCCACCAGCCTCCAGCCGGCAACTGCCACCAGCCTCCAGCCGGCAACTGCCACCAGCCTCCAGCCGGCAACTGCCACAAATTTTCAGCCGGCAACTGCCACCAGCCTTCAGCCGGCAACTGCCCCCAGCCTTCAGCCGGCAACTGCCACCAGCCTTCAGGCGGCAACTGCCACCAGCCTTCAGCCGGCAACTGCCACCAGNTTTTGAATACTATGCGTCTCTATACATAATTTAAATCACTTTTCCTGTTAAGTTTGTGTACTTACATACATTAAAATACGATTTTTCAAGTGTACGAATATTTATTTCCCCCCACTGTATTTGAACCACAAATATCCCGAGGTTTATCAAAATTAGTTCATCAAACATGAAGACTAGCTACAAGTAGATTTAAATGTATCGCAAAGATCATTTAACCGGCGTTGAATCTCAGCTGAAATTAGCACACATTTTGACCGTTTTATCGTCACACATAATATGGATAGTTACAAGGCTAATTAACTGCTTTGTCGTTGTACGTCGTAACAAAATCAAAACTCTTTCAGATATATATTAATGTTCAAGTTTCCCTCATGATCGAGAGTATCCGATATTGACCTTCTTGTACAGCCCTTCTTGAGCTAACGCTTTAGAATACATGAAAAAATATCTCCATCGGCCTCCACTTTAGGGCTATACTCTTATTGCATGAATAATAATGGCGGTGTCAGTGTTAATAAGGCCGTAGGCCCGATTCTTACCATCACTGAAAATTCAAAGCTTGTTGCGGTCTCGAACACGCAATTCGATCACTGCTCCAATTCTGATTTGTTTTAACTGTCCGGCATCCTCGCAGATTGTGACCAGAAACTGCCACACAGAGCTGGGATCGAACCCGCGCCAATACTAGATCGAACCCGCACCAATACTAGTACTAACTGTAACCGCTGGTCCACCGTTCAAAATAGAATATGCCCTTATCCAAAGTAACAGACCTATTCTCTTTAATGATGTAAATTCCACCAATATTTTTATCGATCACGAAGAAGTGCCATAAGCCAGCATATCAGATGCTTCCTCCAAACAGGCAGGACAGGGCAGGTAAAATATGTTTGCAATATTAGCGGAGTTCGGTGCATGCCGGGGCGAAGTGTTGTTGGAACTTGGATTTGTGTCTTTGATGTGTATTATATATCTGCGTGTGTACCTCTTTTTGGTTTCATTTTCGTAGCCTATAGTATTCTATACTTATTGGGTAGTAGAAAATAGTAAAAAAAATCTATAAGACTGCTTTATCTGAGCCCTTTCATTCAGCTCTAGCCTGCAGTTCATGATGTATATTCAGCTTTCAAGATATAAAAAAACTCTAAAATGGCGTCCATAACAAAACTATAGAAGCGCATCCAGCACGCGGTAAAATATATATAACAGATATTACAGCACAGGTGCAACGGCCGCACTCGTCGCACAGCTGTGATGTCCTGATGGAGGTTGACACCAGCAACTGCACCTCTGAGAACTCAGAGGTGCTCAGAGGTACTCAGAGGTACTCAGAGGTACTCAGAGGCACTCAGAGGTACTCAGAGGTACTCAGAGGTACTCAGAGGTGCTCAGAGGTACTCAGAGGTGCTCATGCTCAGAGGTACTCAGAGGTGCTCAGAGGTACTCAGAGGTACTCAGAGGTGCTCAGAGGTACTCAGAGTTACTCGGAGTTACTCAACGGAACTAAGAGGTACTGACTGCTACTGCGATGTACTGAGAGGTACTCAATGATACTCAGAAGTACTCGAAGTCACTGAGTCGCCCAGGGCTTGGTTACTCACCTCCCTCGCCCCTGGTCGCCAGGGGGACGTTACTCCTCCTGGGGGCGGGGGCCCCAATCCCTGCCATCGGGGTTGCGTCCAACGACTTGCGTCTTCTCAACATCATAAATCTCTTCAAAATAATAACAATTATCGGCAATATAATGAAGCGAAGTAAGACTATTTTCCACGCAACTGAATTAGATATAAGTTCAATACTATAGAATAATTTAATGCTTGATTCTTGACATGTAATAGAATTTACTGCTTGATTCTTTCAAGATTATAAGTTTATTGTTTAGACATTATCTGGCGATAAATGTTGAAAAATGGTGAGCATCTTTGAGAGGCGAAAAATTTGAAACAATAAAAATTATGGAAGTAACAAGTCACTTGATGATGCTGGTGCAGGCTTGTGGCACCATCAGGTGCACAGCGTCGTGCTCCATCAGGTGCACAGCGTCGTGCTCCATCAGGTGCACAGCGTCGTGCTCCATCAGGTGCACAGCGTCGTGCTCCATCAGGTGCACAGCGTCGTGCTCCATCAGGTGCACAGCGTCGTGCTCCATCAGGTGCACAGCGTCGTGCTCCATCAGGTGCACAGCGTCGTGCTCCATCAGGTGCACAGCGTCGTGCTCCATCAGGTGCACAGCGTCGTGCTCCATCAGGTGCACAGCGTCGTGCTCCATCAGGTGCACAGCGTCGTGCTCCATCAGGTGCACAGCGTCGTGCTCCATCAGGTGCACAGCGTCGTGCTCCATCAGGTGCACAGCGTCGTGCTCCATCAGGTGCACAGCGTCGTGCTCCATCAGGTGCACAGCGTCGTGCTCCATCAGGTGCACAGCGTCGTGCTCCATCAGGTGCACAGCGTCGTGCTCCATCAGGTGCACAGCGTCGTGCTCCATCAGGTGCACAGCGTCGTGCTCCATCAGGTGCACAGCGTCGTGCTCCATCAGGTGCACAGCGTCGTGCTCCATCAGGTGCACAGCGTCGTGCTCCATCAGGTGCACAGCGTCGTGCTCCATCAGGTGCACAGCGTCGTGCTCCATCAGGTGCACAGCGTCGTGCTCCATCAGGTGCACAGCGTCGTGCTCCATCAGGTGCACAGCGTCGTGCTCCATCAGGTGCACAGCGTCGTGCTCCATCAGGTGCACAGCGTCGTGCTCCATCAGGTGCACAGCGTCGTGCTCCATCAGGTGCACAGCGTCGTGCTCCATCAGGTGCACAGCGTCGTGCTCCATCAGGTGCACAGCGTCGTGCTCCATCAGGTGCACAGCGTCGTGCTCCATCAGGTGCACAGCGTCGTGCTCCATCAGGTGCACAGCGTCGTGCTCCATCAGGTGCACAGCGTCGTGCTCCATCAGGTGCACAGCGTCGTGCTCCATCAGGTGCACNCTCATGATTATGTATCAATGATACGCCAATACCTCATGATTATGTATCAATGATACGCCAATACCTCATGATTATGTATCAATGATACGCCAATAGCTCATGATTATGTATCAATGACTAATCATGTTTAGTTAATCTCCTTAGGCAGAGATGAACCACGTTTGTTGAAACTTGAGAGTTTTTTTTAAACACAAGGAAGCCTTGATAGCTCGCAACAAAACGTTAAATTAGATGTTTTAAACGTTTAATTAAACGCAGTAAACGTTTGATTAAGCTGACCAAATGAATATTTAATTGAGCGTTGCCAAAGTTTCATTCCAAAGCAGTTATTTTCAATCAATGATATTGAATCTTGCAGTGCTTCTTAAAAAAACATGTCTTCTCTCCGTGTGAAAAATATCGGCCAGTTGCGAATACATTACGCGCCACATCTTTTATAGGAGGCGTTCAGAGAAAAATTTGATGTGACTCGATTTGAAAAATTAATATACGTGGACTCAATGCATGTTTTAAAATTCATTTATACTATATTTATAAATAAATAAACTTCAATTTTAGATACAGGTACATTTTTATGGAATTTAATGCCTTGCACGATTTCGAAAGTTCGCAATATTTTCATCAGTCGCTTCGGTGCCAGTTGAACTGTGCTGCTCGCATTCACAACTCGCATATTTTCCAGACAAGCGAGTACACGTGCGACCTTGTGCATGTCTAAAATGTCCGCCGTTGCATGAGGTTAAAATATCTGAATAACACATTTTAATTCTGATTTATCATCACTCTCGCCATTAATTTAGCGTTAACTCAGGGCACGGTGAAATTTTCTCTCAACGATGGAGCTTGCACGCTTTTGGCAACACGAGCGCCCTCTAAACATTATCATGGAAGCAGCTGACGTCAATCAGAGCGTCACACTTGCGCACCAAAGCGCTGTCACTGCGTTACTGAACTTCTGATCGTCATTCCTGACACAAATGTCGGTCTCTGTAATGCAATCAGCTGCCGAGAACACGACTAGACTGCATGCAAGTCTCCACCAGTGAATATAAACCTAATAAGAGATCACAACTCATTAATATCATCTGAAATTATTGCTCCAGCTGTATGCCGCATTTAACAAACAATTGTCTGCGTACTCTAACATACGGAGTGCCGCCCGTCAACACACATAACACTTGCAGCTTGTTTATACAAATGCTAAATTATGTCAGTTACACCAGTTGAACGAACTAACAATTTTTCATGATGCGCAAGTAGATAATAAGCGAGGTGAGTGAAACAAATTACTTCATAATGGTAAATAAACATTTATTACCACTCTCCTAAATTTTTACGTTTAGTTTAAAACAGCCTCGGCCATCAACAAACTGATACTCAAAAAGCTACCGAAATCTTGAGCAAAATCAATCAACAGCCTATATAATCTCTCCAGACCTCCAATCCTAATAATTTTTGTTAAACAACTTGACACAGACAATGGTATAAGGATGCCGGCATAAATTAAAGAAGAACTTATATACGACAACAAAACTTTGTACATATTCAGGACACCAAAACATTCAAGGATCATCTTCACGCAATATAATTAATTGCAACAGACGCCATCATAGGACAACAATACATTGCGACGGCTTCTAAATGTTTGATCCCCAAATTACGCCCCCACATTGCTAGCAGGATATATTTACATACATCCTCATCTGTTACATTACGCTGCGCTGTTAGCAGACAACCCCATCAACCCATGCATCACCACACACACAATGCAACAACGCCTACAAATAAAATTCTCATTTGCTAACAAAAAAACTCAGACACGTTCCGCAGTCTGCCCGCAGGGAATAAACCATCACTAACAAACAGAAAACAATGCGAGACCAAGAAACGCAGATGATACAACAAGTATTCGCTGAAGTAGTTATGCATGCATTACAATAACATAAAATAACATAACATAACATAGCGATCTCGGCGCTGCAGTGTAGGCCTGATGTGGCCTGTCGCCTATTCTTTTCCTTTTCGTGCCTTGTTCACAGAAGATCTAAAATCGTGTCATTTGACCGGATCTTTTCACGACTGACGAAAGTTTGAAATAGCTACTCGACTTCCACCGGGTTCGATAAGGAGCTAGGCATTTCAAATCTGAACATATATTTTTCCATAGCTTTATCTAGTCTGTTCTTGAACGCGTTCATACTTGGAGCGTTCAATTAAATTATCGTTCCCAGCACAGCCTCCCTCTCACCAACACTGTGTTGGATAATATTCTACCTCTGGACAGATGTACGTGGGCAGTAGCGCGCTACATGTAGCGGTAGCGGCCGCTACAATCTAGTGGGCGTAGCAGTAGCGCCCGCTACATTTAGAGCATGTAGTGGTAGCGGCCGCTACATTTCAAAGTAGCGCTGCCCAGCTCTGTCATTAACTTTGAGAGGTTCATCGGTACTTTGATTGGCGGGTTATTGTAGTTTCTTGAACTTAACCTTAACTCTTAAACTTAGTATGAAAAGTCAAGATGTTCTCTGTAGGGTTTGGTGCTGTAAATTTAGGAACTGTGTCCACCTTTAAGCTTAACTCTAGCGGTTCGCAATTTACCGACCGCGTATTTACTACCAACGGATGTCAACTATTTACCATGAACTATCTACCTGACAGCACAACGTTGGTGCACTTATTTCAATTTGATAAGGTGAGCTTTTCCCTGAATTATTGAGACATTTAAAAATCTGAAATTAATCACAGATATGAGCTCTAGTCTCTTGCGTAATTAACGTAATGTATTTCGTTGTCCTGTATGACTACATCAAAACTCCAAATCACAGCCTCCATTGAATTGGCCTACATGGATGCGGAATTTTTATGGTTACCACAATGGAAGATACTTCCTCTTGTACCTCGGGAGAACTCAAATAAAAACAATATTTAAATACCTTTATTCACGTTTTTATCTAAAACCCTTTGTACTTCTTGAGAAAGAAAGTTCTGAAGGCCTTAACTCTGCGTGGGGAAAAATTCCCTACAACACTTATAAAATGCACCAGTAATATACACTAATAAAATACGCTGATGTAACACACTGATAAAATATATTTATAAAAATACACTAATAAAGAATTAACGCTAATAAAAATACTAAAAAAGTAGCTTTTAAAAATACACTAATAAAATACTAATAATGAAGTACATTAATAAAGTACACTAATAAAATACAGTATGACCTCATGACGTTATGATGTGTTTAGGACTTCTTAGTCCACGGTCACGCAGATGCGCCGCCTTCGTCGTCCTCCGTCTCCGAGTCGTCGCTAGGCAGGTCAGCTCGCCCTCGGGTCCCGGATGTAACGTTGGACGTGTTTCGTATATTTGCCCTCCTTTGGGCCAGATGATGCAAGATGCTGTTGCTTGTCACTTGCTGAGAGTAGTTTCCCATTACTGCAGACAATCCGGGATTTTTCTCAACCAATTGTCCAGTCGCCTCTTGAATGTTGCAAGGGTGAAGTCCACTCCTCTCAGCGCTTTTGGCAGGGCATTAAAGAGCCTCGGTCCTACAACGGACAGTGATCCCTCACGAAGAGTCTGTACTCTGGCCGCGGCTCGGTTATTAAATGGGGGAACCCTGCACAGTCTCCCCCTCCTTTTGTTGTAACGTGTCACTATTCTGGAGGTCTCACTCTCAAAGTTGAGAGCCAGTCCGGTTATCATCTTGCAAGTGTACAGTATGATATAACTTTCTCTTCTCCTCTCCAGTGAGTACAGTCCCAAATGTTTCGGCCTTTCCCAGTAGTTCAGCTTCAGCTCCCTCATGCCGCTGATCCTGTACGTGAAGGTTCACTGCACTG